GGAGCGGCGCGGGGCCCGGCCCGCCGGGAGCCGCCGGGGATTGGCTCGGCCGGGCGCGATCCGAAGGTGCCGGGGAAGCCATCTGCAGCGCAGGCGGTTTCGCCGCCGCTGTGCGGGGGGAGGGAGGGGGCTCTCCCGTGCGGGCAGCTGGGGAATTTTTTTTTCCTTCCTACCTTTTCACTCCCCCCCATCCTCCTCCTCCTTCCTTTTCACGGGATCATGGCCACGGCGGCGGGGCCGTGATGTCCGTGGGAGCAGCCCCGCTGCGGCAATGCTCCCCGCCGCAGCCCTAGGCAGGGGAGGCKTTTGAGCGGCGGCCGCACATCCTCCGGCAGCGCGGCGGCACCGCCGCCGCCGCCTCTCCGCGCCCCGGACCGGCGGAGAGGGGCTTCGCCGCCCGCCCGCCAACAGCAAACCCKCCGAACCGGGCTTTAAATTGATAATAACCACACTAGAGCTCCACCGCTGCTCAGAGGCGGGAGGGATCGCAGAGCCGCRCACAACATGGCCACTCTGCTGCGGAAAATCGGGCTGATCCGGCTGCACAGCCGGGACACGGAGGACCCCAAGCACCACCACCACCACCACCGCAGCAGCAGCAGCAGCCAGCAGGGCTCCTCACTCCGCGGCAGGGGCAACCAGAAGAACAGCAGCAACAAGCCGCAGCCGCAGGGCCCCCCCGGGGGCGGCTGCAGCAGCAGCAGCAGCGAGGGCAGCCCCGGGGGCCACAAGAACAAGAAGGCGCCGGAGCCGGCCAAGCAGCCGCCGCAGCCGGCGCGCTCGGGAGTCGGCCGAGAGAAGCCGCGGGAGGTGGGCAGGGAGCCCGGCGCCGGCAAGGAGGCGGCGCAGCGGCCCGGCCCCGGCTCCGGCCCCGGGTGCGGGTCGGGGCCGGCGGCGCTGGTGCCCGCGGGCCGGCAGCAGCACTGCACGCAGGTGCGGACCCGGCGGCTGATGAAGGAGCTGCAGGACATCGCGCGGCTCAGCGACCGCTTCATCTCGGTGGAGCTGGTGGACGAGAGCCTCTTCGACTGGAACGTGAAGCTGCACCAGGTGGACAAGGACTCGGTGCTGTGGCAGGACATGAAGGAGACCAACACGGAGTACATCCTGCTCAACCTCACCTTCCCCGACAACTTCCCCTTCTCRCCGCCTTTCATGAGGGTGCTTAGCCCCCGCCTGGAGAACGGCTACGTCCTGGACGGCGGGGCCATCTGCATGGAGCTGCTCACCCCCCGCGGCTGGTCCAGCGCCTACACCGTGGAGGCCGTCATGAGGCAGTTCGCCGCCAGCCTGGTCAAGGGGCAGGTAGGGCTCCCTGCTCGGGGAGGAGAACACGCAKCCATCGCTCGGGGTGCGGGTCTGAGCGCTCTTCGGGTGAGAGCCCCAAAGGCGGCCAGCCCCGGTCTGCCCGAGGACCTGGTGTCAMCGGTGGGGCGAAGTCTGGGGCACCCGTGTTTGGCTCCGGGGTCCCGTCTCGGGCAGGTGCGGCAGAGGTGCGGGGCAGCGTGGAGGGACGAGGAGCACATGCATCCATCGTGTCCTCCCGCCCGGCTTTTGTCTCTATGCTTGGCTCTGCCGCCTGTGACACACCAAAATACCATGCCCGTTACCCCTGATGGGCGCCTCCTTCGCCCCACAGCAAAAGGGGGATTTGGGATTGGAGCCTCCCGCCTCCTGCCCTTCACCAACCAGTCGGCCATACGCTCTGGTCCCTTGTGTGCAGCGCTGCCGCTGGCGGAGGGCGCGACGCTGGAGCTGCTGCCCCCAGGTCTTTGTCTGTGCTGTCCCGCATAGCATCCCTCTGGGGAAAGGGCCGACCCTGGCTTTGGGGTTTGGCACACCGCGCTAAGGTGTGTCGCGGGGTCACGCCGGGAATCGGTGCCCGAGCTGCTGGCGAACTTGGGCAGGTTTCGTCCGGCCCGAAAGGAACAAATAATTTGGGCTAGGTACTGCAGCTGCAGCAGCTAGACAGTTCCTGCCAGCTCTTCTCTTCCATGTGATCTGTTTCCCGGCAGAGGATCTCGTGTGAGCTGAATCGATGCACTTTAGGCTGCTGCTTCCTCCCCTCCCTTTTTCTCCAGCAGAATATCCGTAGAAGAGAAGTATTTCATAAGCCGTTTTTAATAAATGTGTAAATATTGCTGGTAGGCAGTCGCTCTTTATGGTTATTATAGTGGGCAATGCACACATGGCTGTGAYGGGGTGGTTTTCCTGTTCGTGAATGCCCTTGAACTCGGGGGACACGCACAGCWCCGTGTCTGTCAGTAACTGATACTAAGTAACTTCTTAAATTTGTGTCTTGGCAAGGAGRTGAGAAAAGAGTAAATAATAAGATCATTTAATTTGCTTAAAAATGAGGTTACTCCTGTTTGCTTCTACAGGAGCTACTAGCCTGAGCAGAAGTAAAGGCTTGTTTTTTTCTTAAGACTGAAAATTAATTTTGATTTTTCAACAGGCTCTTTTGTAAGTGGCTTTTCCTCTTTTTAACCTATTTGATTTGGGCCTACTGCTCCTTCTTAAAATCAGAATAGTATTTTTCTCTGCACTTCATTTCAAGTTTCCTAGGTCACCTTGGGATATAAAAAACATGTACCAGAAAACAAAAAAAGAATTTTAATTAACACAGRGCCTGGGATATCTTGAAGTTTAGTAGCTACTCTTACTTCATCTCACTGTTTGTTAAGCTATCTCCTTTCAGAGAGGTTATAGTTCTTGTTATTATTCTTCTGTTACCTTCTTATTATTCTTGTTGCAAGAATTTAGAAGAACAATGCTAAATTCTCTCATTTTTTATCAATTCAGCCTCCTGTTGAATGTTAAAGGGGTTAAATGAATATTTACAGGGATCATAAAATGGCTCAGTGAAGAGAACTGAATTGTTTTATTAGTAATCAATTCTCAGCTATATAATCTGACAGTTTTGCCTAAACTACTTAAGAGATTTCGAGAAAGTAGTAGCAATTTTTGATTAACAGAGGATGTTTATGTGTGCATCATTAATAAATGCATTTAAAAAGCAAGAGTTCCAATAACATTCTTCCAGAAGTTTGTGAAGTCAATTATAACAAAAAGAGAACTGGGATTAAAAAAAAAAAAAAAGCAGAAATAAACTGCTGACAGTGACTTAGTAGTTAGATGGATATAACATGGCACGTTTCAACCTCTCAGATTGTTCATTCCAAGTGGAAAGGTTATTAGGCAGTGCTGTCAATAAATGTATTTTCTGGGTTAGAGAGATGTTGCCTGTGATGGATTTGCTGGCCTGTCACCGTAGCTGGGCTCTGTGTCATGGGAGCCACGTTTCTGTAATTGCACTCCCCTCGTTATGTAATCCCCACTCCATTGCATAATAGGGCTCAAAATACGACTGGCGCTCCCCTATCCCCGTTTCATTTTACAGGTGATCTACTTTTGACCATTTAGTTTTTAAAAATAAAAACAGAGCTGATGAAGCGTCGAGGGCTGAGGCGCTGCRTTCCCCAGCGCTGCGTGGCCAGGTTTGGGTGACTCCTGCCGTGCCGTGGGCAGTCTTGGTCCCTGCAAGGAGCTGAACAAACAGCCGTGGCTGTCACCAGGTTAATTGTGTAATTTCTGTAAGCAGCCTGCAACCTGCAATAGCATGAAATATTCAGGAGGCTGTTCATCAGCAGGCTGGAAGGGTGAGGGCCACTCTCCATSGCCTCAGAATGAACCTGCCTGAGCAAATGGCAGCAGCCATCAGGCTGAATGGGAGGTGGGGCACTGCTGCCACCAGTGAGTCAATGGGACCTTCCAGAGAAATGTCACTGGTTCCCAGCGCCATGATTTAGCATGAARTCACCATGAATGCTCCAGCCTTTGACGCATCCAAGAGCGCGCCTGGCTGGCACGGGCGCCGGTGTGAATGGGCAGGGCTGAAAGTTCCGCTGGCACACCTTCCTCCTTGGGGCAATTCAGGTGRTAGAACTGAGGTGGCTCAGTTTGTGAGACATTTGTCATCAGTCCCCTTTTGCTGAGCCTACTGTCATTCTCTGCTGGTTCTTCAGAGAGAARCACAGCGCTTCTTGGTCTGCTGGTAGAGCTAATAGTAACTGAACATGTATGACCTTCTGTTTCTTGACAAAGGGATTCAAAAGCAGATAAAATTAACATTGAAAATAACATTTTCAGACAATTAAGATTCCTGACAAATTCAGATTTTTTTCATAGTTTTCGCAGAGCTTTTAGCAGAGTAGAAGAGAAATGGAGATAAGTCATTCTGACATCTCATGGGATGTCACTYAGGAGTTGTGTCTGTATGGTGACATAAATGTGCAACAGAGACATTGAGAGTACCTTTCCATCACTTTTCAGCATTCCCTTTGTTTGTGGGGAATCCTGTGTCCAGGTTCCCAAATCAATCCARTCCCAGGGACTGGATTTTAAAGCAGGGTGGCTGTTTCTCTAGATTGCACCAAGCAGAAACCATATGCCTCAGGTGACCTTGCTTGAGAGACTCCCTACCTTATGGGATGCACACCCTTGTTTCCTATCATGAGTTTAGCATTGCATTTTTAGACTTCTTTTTGTCTGTAAATAAAAAAGTTTGAAATGGAAGAGAGATAATTTTTGTTTGAATAAAACAATTCAGCGGTCCCAAATTTAACTTTTTTATTCCCCCCTCAGTTTTCAAGGAAAAAATGTTAATTAACAAACAAGTTGGGGTTTGTTTGGTTGGTTGCTTCAGCTATTCAACTGAGAAAATCAATTATTCACACAGCTCTAGTCAGTATCTTGAGGGGAATTCTCAGTACATCAAAGGCCAAAGACTGTTTATCTGTCTGGAATCCAGAATACTATTTTAAAAAACTTGGTATTGTCCTTAACTCAACTGTGGCCTTGCTTTTAAAGGGATGACTTTGTACTTGCTTCCTGCACAATCAGCTGCTCGCTGGCTCCTGTCGTCACAGGCAAGAGCTTGGCCCTGCTGAACCAGTCTCCGTGAGCCGAGCCGCTGTGGAGCTGGGGTGCCAGCCAAGGAGGTGGGGTGATGCTAATGAAATAATTTAAATACCAGTTGTTTATTGTCCTGGAGGCAACTGTTCGACGTGTTTGTCTAGGCAGAACTTCCCATGTCTGTCTCTCTGTGTCTATCCAGGCTGTGGAAGTGGCCCATGGAATGTTACTCCTTCTTAGCCCTTTAAAATGATTTATTGATCATTTTAGAGGGAGGTTTAAAAATTAGTCAGTTGCTCTCCACTTCCTGATAAGGTTGTCATTGTCACAATGATATCAATAAAGGAAGGTAGGAAAGTAGGTAGGTGGGTAGTTATCGGTTGTAGGAGATGAATGTAAAAGCAGGAGGTTCATGCGTGGCTCTCCTTGAGTGACAACAAACACAGATGAGACCAATRCCCATGTTTCAGGGAGGAGTCACCTCTCTTGTTTGAAAATGTGGTAGATCATGTGATCCCAAAGGAAAAGGAGCAGGCTTTGTCCAAAAATAGGAAAGGGTTTTTTTGTCTTCTGTTTCTCATTGGGGAGAATTACTTGATGGACATTTAAAAGAGGACAAAGCTACATATACACCAACGTCCAAATAATGTATCAGGATATATTTTTCTTTTTTTGAGAGCAACAAACAGAGCTACACCCAATGTCTTGAGGACTTTTGACTTAAGCTTGCGCTAGTACCAACCAGTAGATGCCTTGTCCTCTTTTTTACAAGTCCCTTATTCTGTCCCTAGAGGCTGGGGGCAGGACTGCCAGCCAAAGGCAGCTGTGAGGTAACTGTCAGCTCTGCAGAATGGCATGGAAAAACGTTTTCATTTTSAGGGAAATACTCTCTTATTCTTCCAGTGAATAGAAAGGGCATAAATTTTTTTTCCAGGATACTTGCAGAGAGTAGAAGAAACATAAACRATTTTGCCAGGACATATTACAATAGGAAGAGAGAACCCCTAATTCTGAATATTCTTGCTTTTGTAGACTTCTGTATGATTTAAATAAAAATCAAAAGATAGTTTGTAGTTAAGCTGTAATTTTGTATTGGAAAGTTCCTGATCCCTCACATTGTAACATTAGAAATACCTCAGTGGAACCCTATTAATTTGCTTAAAATGCTGAGTGCCTTGTACAACTATTGAATGGGTTTATCTTTCCATTTTAAAGATTTGAATATCCCAGCTGATTTTTACCAGATTAAAATAGCAGAAATGGGCTTATTTTATGAAAAACAGCTACAGAAGGTAGCTGTTAATCATACTCTAAAYTACTCCCTCTTCATCCTTTCGAACAAAAGTGCGAGTGAACAGATAGCAGATGGGACTTGCACGGTGTCCAGGAGG